ACTACCCAAGGGAGTCTCAGAGCGGCTTCCAAACTCCTCTCCCTTCCCCTCCCCACAACAGACACCCTGTGAGGTAAAAGAAGAAGAAGAAGAGATGGGATTTATACCCCATGGCCCTTCACTACCCAAGGGAAGTCTCAGAGCGGCTTCCAAACTCCTCTCCCTTCCCCTCCCCACAACAGACACCCTGCAAGGTAGATGGGGCTGAGAGAGCTCTTGACAGAAGCTGCTCTTTTTTCAAGGACAGCTGTGCCAGGACTATGGCTTGCCCAAGGTCGTCCAGCCAGGTGCAAGTGGAGGAGTGGGGAGTCAACCCCGGTTCTTCCAGATTAGAGTCCGCGCACTTAACCCCGACACAGCAGGAGGGAGGGAGGGAGCGGTCATGGGCACAGGCTCGGCTTGACTCTTAAGGATAAAACCCCAAACAGTCTTGATTTCCCCCAGACCCACACGCTGTGGTCCCCACCACCCCACTGGCAAAAAGACCCTTTAAAGGGTCTCGTTACGAGTGGAGCCCGCCGACCGGCTGAAGCCCTTTGAATCGGGCAGGAGGGGAGGGAGAGGGGTGGCCGGGCGGGTGGTGGCTCTCGGGGGTCCCCCGACGGTCAGCTGGGTGGGGGTGGATTGAAGTCCCCAGGAGTGGGGGGACCCCCGCCCAGACCTGGGGGCCGGCACCCCTATCCCCTGGAGAAAACGGCAGCGTCAGAGGTTCAAATTCTGCGGTATACCAGAGATTTCACCCTCCGCAGGCAGTGCCCCAAAATCTCCAGGAGTTTCCCAACCCCGAGCTGGCAACCCTGCCTCCAGTGCTCTTCTAAATATCCCTCTGCCTGGGGAAGGTGGAGGGAAGCCAAGGTCAGCACTTGGCTTTCGGGACAGAAGGTGACATTTGGTCCCACGTCCTGTGCTCCCTGCGTGGCCGCAGCAAAACGTGTCCGAGCCCAGAGACGCGAGGAAGACCGCGGTCCGTGGCCAAGGCAAGCGCACAATTGCCGGGCAAATGCTCAGCAGTCTGTCGGGGGTGTCAGCCTCCAAATGGGGATCTCCCAGAACTGCAATTCAGGTCCAGACTACAGAGATCCGTTTCCTGGGAGAAAACAGCTGCTTCAGAAAGTGGACCCTGTGGCATCGCACCCCACGCGAGTCTCTCAGATCCCCAAACCCTGCCCCCCAGGCTCGGCCCCCTCCCCAAATCTCCAGGAATTTCACTGCCCAGAGTTGGCAACTCGGGTGCTTGGCTATAGCCCGCCCACTTGCCGATGTGGCCCGAAGCTCACTCTTATTTTCCCAAGTTCCATTCGAGCCCTTTTGCGCACGGGCTATGCAGCCTAATGAGTTCCTGCTGGGCGTGGCCAACTTGGGAGCCAGCCGGAACTCCGTTCCTGTGCGTTCCTGCCCAAAAATAGCCCTGCTCAGCAGTTTGTCAGGGTGCCAGCCTCCAAACAGGGATCTCCCAGAACTGCAATTCAGATCCAGACTACAGAGATCCGTTTCCTGGGAGAAAACGGCTGCTTCGGAAAGCGGACCCTGTGGCATCGCACCCCATGCGAGTCTCTCAGATCCCCAAACCCTGCCCCCCCAGGCTCAGCCCCCCCCCCAATCTCCAGGAATTTCCACCCACCAAAGTGGTCCCTATTTATCTACTTGCAATTTCTTGCTTTCAAACTGCTAGGTTGGCAGGAATATATATATATTGCATATAGCTGTTCCAAAATAACACCAGGCAAAGTCAGGGAAGCTTTAGTCTCTTTTTTTCCCTCTTTTTTTCCCCAGGCCAAATAATAAATAGGTTTTTAGAAATGCAATAAAGTAGAATAAAATAAAATTACAAAAAATAAAATAAAATTGCAAAATGCAAAATAAGGGGAGTGGGAGAAACCCCACTCCCCCCCAGTAGGGTTGCCAGTTCTGGGTTGGAAAATACCTGGAGACTTTGGGGGTGGATCCAGGAGCGGGCGGGGTTTGGGGAGGGGAGGGGCCTCAGCCTGGTCCAGTGCCAGAGAGTCCACCCTTTAAAGCAGCCATTTTATCCCAGGGGAGCTGATCGCAAGCCCACAACTAGGGTTGCAAGCTTTGGGATGGGGAATAACTGGAGATTTTGGGGGTGGAGCCTGAGGAGGGCGGGGTTTGGGGGTGGGAAGGACCTCAGCAGGATATAATGTCATAGGGTTGCCAGGTCTGGGTTGGGAAATACCTGGAGATTTTGGGGGGTGGAGCCCGGGGAAAGTGGGGTTTGGGGAGGGAAGGGGCCTCAGCCTGGTCCAGTGCCATAGAGTCCACCCTCCACAGCAGCCATTTTATCCCAGGGGAGCTGACCTCTGTCAGCTGGAGATCGGTTGTAAAAGCGGGAGATCTCCAGGCCCCACCTGGAGGCTGGCAACCCTGTTTCCCTGGCTTACACAGAAAAGCAGCCCGGAATCGAGTCTCTCCAATCGAAAGGACTAGAGGAGGACTAGAGGTTACAGTGGAGCCGGAGCTGCTGCTTCTGCTGCTGCAAGAATCCCAGAATCATAGAGTTGGAAGGGAGCTCCAGGGTCATCTAGTCCAACCCCCTTGCACAATGCAGGACATTCACAAATACCTCCCCCTCCACACCCACAGTGACCGCTGTTCCACGCCCAGAAGATGGCA